TCAGTATCTTCATCAGTAAAATAGTGAAGAAAGAGCATGGATTAGATGATCTCTAAAGACTCTGCCAGTCCTAAACATACACGATTCCACTTCTTGTGAAAAGGGTAAAGTATGAGTGGAAGGTTATAGCTACTCTAAGAGATTAAGGACCATATGACCCAGTTTCTGTTTGCAAAGGAAAGTCAAACCTGTTCACARTGGGGAGGCTCCGTTCTGTGCTTTGTAGGAACCCAGGACTACCTCCATCTTCCTTTCTTGCATCTGCCCAGGACCCAACAGTATAACCTTAGAATTGCCAGCTTTCCCTGTGGCCCCCATCAGCACATCCAATCAATTACCATCAGCCAATTCTAAGATATCACTCACCTCTTTTGTTTCCCTTCTGACTCCTAACATGCCCACACTGTCCCCTTCTAGTTCATTCCCCTTCCACTTTTCTCATGGGCACCTGTGACATACTTCAGTGTTTCTTACCTGCATCCTATTGCCCTGTGTAACACTTCTTTCCTCGTCTGTCTCCCATTTTTATGACCCATCTCTCTCAGTTTCCTTTTCTTTCAGACTCCCTACCTGCCTCCCCTCCTTCTGTTCACCCCTTAAATTTGAGTGAACCCCTTAAGGTTTTGTCCTTGGCCATCTCATAATGGTAGCATAATAACAAAAGCAAAAAACAACTAGGATTTAATGGTGGTTATAAGCTACAAAGGGCTTCACATGTACTCTCATTTGATTGTATGAGGTAACTATTATCCTCCATTTAATAGAAGTCAATTTCGCCTTCATGGAGTTTCTAAAAACTGTCCTTTCCTTTTTATTTTCATTGCCACTGCCTTAATTTAAGCCCTTAATACCTCATCTCAGAACCTCGCTTCAGCACCCGAGCTGACAATACTGTAGGTCTTAGCCGTTGATGAGAAGGAAAGGATGTAGTTCCASTTAACCAATTGACCAAAGACTTTCGGCTTAACTGAACCAGACCAAGCCCCACTCAGAACAGTGGTTACACGGGGGCTGTGCTGTAAAGATAAGGCACTCAGAACTAGAATCATTTTGGGAAAAAGATTAGGGTCATACAAACACAAATGAGAACCTGTGATTGGTCCAAATGGAAAGAGGACAATTTCTGATGGAATAGGTGAAGGGCTGCATAAAAAGTTCCAGGAGAATCTCCTTATAAGCCCCACACCCCCAGGAYTTGTGTGCCCTTCTCAATCTCCAGTCCTCCCAATCTGCAGCTTCCGCCTATGGGAGAAGGTAAATCTCCACTCTTCGTTTAAGTCAGGAAAACTCTATTCCTGAGAAGAAGGAAAAAAAAGAAAAGAATAAGAAAAAATGCAATATTAGAAATTTTGAACAAAGAAATTTAAACTCATGACATTGGTTTTGTAATGGGTGGGGATTCTTGTAATTGTGTGTGTTTCATAATATTGTATGTTTTGTCTGTTTTAATTTTATTTGTTGTGGTACTGGAGATTGAACCCAGAGCCTCCCACATGCTAGCCAAGTGCTCTACCATTGAGCTATATTCCCAGCTTCCTTTTGGTCTACTTTTAATGATATTTGAAGTTTTTAAGAAAGACTGATAGCTAGGAAAAATAATAGACATCTGTAATCCCAGCTACTCAAGAGACTGAGGCAGAAGGATTGCAAGTGTGAGGCTAGCATGGGCAATTATATATATATATAAATGTATATATTTTAGTTGTTGATGAACTTTTATTTTATTTATTTATTTATATAGGATGCTGAGAATCAAACCCAGTGCTTCACACATGCTTTAGGCAAGCTCTCTACCACTGAGCCACAACCCCAGTCCCCAGCATGGGCAATTTAACAAGACACTGTTTCAAAATAAAATTTTAAAAAAGGAATTGGGATGTAGCTYAGTGGTAGGGTGAGTYTGGGTTCAATCCCCAGTACCACAAAGAACAAAAACAAAACAAAAATGGTTATATTTATGAAGAGCTTGATTTCATTTGTAATCAATGTTTWCATATTTGGAGAAATATAATTTGTTAAATTTAAAATTTTTATTTATTGGTTGCATATGTAATATGAGAATATTTAGGGGAATGAGAATAATTGAATAAAGATTAATAAATTGAAAATCAAGTAATAAATATAATGAGTCTTTTTTTTCCATGCCTCAAAGAACTTGCTGTCAGTAAATAATTTATCATCCTAAACTTTCTATCTCTGATTTTTGTGACTTCATTTGTTTCCATTCATTACCAACACCTCTGTGACTCAATTTCCTCATCTATAAAATGGGATAACATTACTAAGGATTTAATGAGATAATTCCTTCCATAGCACTTGGTACAATGCCATGTACTTAACTCCTAAGTACTTAATAGATTTGGCTATATTTACCTACCACCACCCCCCACCAACCAACACCATTTCACCTGGAGCTCAAAATCCTCCCATTGCTGCCCACCACTCCCAGGACAAATCCAAGCCTTTCCACATGACACCAGTAATCTTTTTTTTTTTTTAATTATTTTTTAGTTGTAGTGGACACAATATATTTAATTAATTAAATTTTCTGTCGTGCTGAGGATCGCCCAGGGCCTTGCCGGTGCTAGGGGAGCGGTCTACCTCTGAGCCACAACCCCAGCCTGACACCAGGAATCTTCCTGTCCTTACCTCTCTGCCACCTGACCAGCCTTGACCCTCACTATTCCCCATCACCCACCAGATAGATAAAATCACTATCTCTTTGCTTCATCCTAGTCCCCTACCCTCTTAAAGACAAGACCCATTTTTAAAAAGTGGTTCCCTAGGCCACCCTCACTGACCTATAGTTGTAGGTGGACAGCGTGCCTTTATTTTTGTTTGTTTGTTTGTTTGTTTGTTTGTTGTGCTAAGGACCAAACTCAATGACTCTCACGTGCTAGGCAAGCGTTCTCTCACTGAGCTACAGCCCCAGCCCGCCAACAAGTCCCATTTCTGATTGATCTAGGGAAACACAGGACTGCTCTGCCCACAGCCTGTTGTGCAATAGGTGCTCTGCCAACAAGTTGCGGATTCCTCTAGCTCTGGGTAGTCAGGTTATCCAAGCAGAAGTAGCAGAAACCTGCAGGTTCCCTAGGCCACCCTCACTGACCTAGTAGACCATGAGGACACAATAGGAAGCCAGCAGTCAGCACTTGCCAGGGCCCACGGGGCAGATGGCATGAAGATCGTAGAGCCAGATTCCAGGAGCATGTGGAGCTGGATCTGCTCAGCTCATCAATATTCCCCCAGACATTCAGCCCCTTCATCAGTCAACACTTTTTTAGGCTATTCTGTGCCAGGTGACGTGTGAGGCAAGGCAGACACCAGACTGGTGTCAGCTCCCAAAGAGGTATGCCCATGTGCCCAGAGCTCCTGTGTGTGAGCATACATGTGCCCACGTGCACCCCACACGGCCCTGAGTCCCAGCTCCTGACAAGCCCAGCCGTCTGTGAACCAGGCTGAGGACCGCCTTTTACCCWGTTTCCAAACAACTCCCCTTTCCGCGCCAGCGCCGCTGCCTCTCCCGTCTGTTAGCCCCTCGCCTCCTCCTCCCTCTGTTGGGGCTGCCGCTGATGATGAAATTTGGCTTGCAACACCCTGTTCCTCCCCTTCCTGCAGGCCTGGGAGAGGATTAAGTCGCTGGAGTCTGAAATCGGAAAGATCCCAGCTTCTGCGCCCCGGCACCTCCCCACGCCCCCTCCCCCTCCCCGCCCATGCAAAACCAGAAAATTAATCTCCCCTTCTGCCTGTGATATGGCGGGCTGCATTACAAGCTGGGCGTCGAGATAAAGCGGAGAGCCGAGGGACGGCGGCCCAGCGCAGGGGCCCCGGGTGGGGCCGGCCGGGGAGATAAGGGCCTCCCAGCCCCATGAATTATTCACCGGCACTGCCTCCTCCGGCTCYGTGGCCGCCCTGGGCGCTGAGATTGCGCCTTCCACGGAGCCGGGTTAGGTGGGAGGGGGGCCCATGGGGAAGGGCAGCRGGCTGTAGAAGAGTCCTCCTGGGGTGGGGGAAGACTGCTTAGCTGGGGCACAGCTCAGAGACACATGCGCCCTGTAGGGCCAACTGATACAAGGAAAGGAAAGGGCCCCCAGGCCTGGGGGACCCCCAGACTCAGCCAGAACCCCCAGGTATGCTCTCATTTATGCAGCTCATTTAACACTACTGAGCAGCTGCATCTGCAGGCTCAGGCCAGGTCCTAGAGCAGGAGATTCAATCCCTGTCTGAAAACRCCCTGGATACAATGCGCCTACTGAATGCCAGGACCTCACCATTCATTCACCTATCTGTCCACAATCCTTCTCTGCTCCCCACCCCTCCTTTGGGAGTCAAAATAGTTTATGCCTATCTGGGATACCTCACCTGAAGTGAGTGCAAGGGAAAGGCAGAAGACAGACCATCTAAAATGCCAGAGCCCCTTCCCCCAGAGAAACCATGGCAGGTGGTCCAGAAGACACCTGGGGGTCAGTGCTAGGGTAAGAGTTTAATATGGGAAATTCTCTGGAGGAGGAAAAGCCCCCACACTCTGTGGGCCTTCTATTTCCCTCCTGCTCTCCCTCTCCTTCTCAAAGACCCAGGCGTAGCTGGCTGAGTGGCATATGCCTGTAATCCCAAGATACTCATGGGCCTGAGGCAGGAGAATCACAAGTTTGAGGCCAACCTGGGCAATTTAGCAAGACACTGTCTCAAAATAAAACAGACTGGGACTGTAATCCCAGCAGCTCTGGAGCTGAGGAAGGAGGATCACAAGTTTAAAGCCAGCCTCAGCAATTTAGCAAGGCCCTAAGCAACTTAGTGAGACCCTGTCTCTAAATAAAATATAAAAAGGGCTGGGGATATGGCTCAGTTGTTAAATGCCTCTGGATTCAATTCCTGATACAAAAAAAAAAAAAAGTACTGGGAATGTAGCTCAATGGTAGAGCCTTTGCCTAGCAAGGCTGAGTTCGATGCCCAGTACTAAAAAGAAAAAGGGCTTTCCACGGACAGCCACGGCACCACCATCATGGACACCAGCCGTGTGCAGCCCATCAAGCTGGCCAGGGTCACCAAGGTGCTGGGTAGGACCGGCTCGCAGGGACAGTGCACGCAGGTGCGCGTGGAATTCATGGACAACACAAGCCGCTCCATCATCCGCAACGTGAAAGGCCCCATCCGTGAGGGCGACGTGCTAACTTTATTGGAATCGGAGCAAGAGGCTCGGAGGCTGCGCTGAACTTGCTGCTGGGTCCTGGATCTGTACTACTTGGCCCACAGGATGATCTGCATTTGTTAAATAAAGAGTTGTATTGTATATAAACTCCAAAAAAATAAAAAAGAAAAAGAAAAAGGAAGATCCAGACTTTTGAAGCAACCTTATCAGTTTTTTTTCTAGATCAATGTCCCCTTATACGTCTGTCCTTACCCACTCTTTCCCTCCATTTCAGTATCTGTCTCTCCATTCCTTCCTCCCATGCTGTGTTGTGCATTCATCTGCCTTTTTAATCTCTATCTTGCCCTGATTTCTCCACTCTCTTGCTCTCTGCTTTTCTCTCCTCTCTCCCTGATATATTTATACATATAAATGTATTTACACACGCACATATTATCTCTTTAATGATCCCTCCTTTTTGAAGCTGTGAATTCAAAAAGTGACATGTTGACATGAATTGTGATGCGTGACAGAAGAAAGGTGGCCATCTGCCAGCCTGCCTGGGAGTGGAGAAGGAAAAGAAGTGTCCATTATGAGCTTGGGTACACAGACAGGGTTATCAGCATGGGTAGAGAGTGCCCCAGAGATGCACTGGCACAAGAAAGAGATCCTGAGATGCCCAGGAAGCCAGGAGTGCATGTTGCTGGGAGAGGGCAAGGACCACAAGAGGCTCCTTCAGGATTACAGAGGCAGACATCTGCAGGCAATTGAACCTGCTGACTTGTAGCAGATGTGGACTCCCACATTATGCACCAGAAAACTAGGCACATTTACTGTTACCCAAATTCAAGTTGGAGAAACGAGGGTGATGGTGGGGAGAAGAGAAGGAGAGTGAAGGGAAGCTAGACAGGAGGAAGAAGTGGGGAGGAGGGATGAGCAATTGAAGGCTGTAGAAGGCAATGACTTGAGTGAGAAAGGGGCAAAATCTGAGGGAGGAGGAAAAAGATTAGAGAGAGGAATGAAGGGCGAAGAATGAGACTACATAGGGTAGGGGGAGGAAGTTTAAAGGCAGCAGAGAAGTATGGGAGGTGGGTAAAAGGAGCATTTGGACCAGAAAAGAGAGAAAGCAAAGGAAGAAGGTGAGGGTCATGGGTGGGGGCAACATGAGTGTGGAAGGGTGGAGGAAGGGTCCCCAGCCCCTTCCCAACCGCCTGATAATTAACTCCTTAATTGTCTCTGCATTTGCTGAGCTGGCAGAAGAAATAGATGCAGACAGATTGGGGCGTGTGTGATTTCACGCACTGGGGAGCGAGAAGAGCTGCCTGGGAGTCCCAGGGGGCCTTGTCCCTCCTATGCCCTCCCCTCATCCCCACCCATCTCTGAGAGGCTGGAGAGTGCTTTTGCACCTAGAGCAGATGGGGCCATCTGCAAGAGAAGCATCCACAGGGAATTTGCCCCCATCAGCCTTTCAGGGATGATCGTCATGCTTGCCACTATTGATGGAACACATAGTGTTTGCTAGGCACACATTGTTTTTATCAGCGTGGCATTAGCTGTATTTTATGGTTTGTAGAGAAAGGTGAGACTCAGATAGGCTAAGTTATTTGCTTAAGGCCACACAGCACTTGTGTGACAGAACGGATTTGAAACCTGGTCAGCAGGGCGCCAGAGCCCTGGGAGGATCCTGGCCAGATGCCTCTCTCCAGTGGAGAGAGAAACATCTTCAAGCCTGTTTCTCTCTAAGCCACCAGAGGAGAAAAGTTCTGAGGTCTGGAAACTGCAGGGGCCAGAGATAAGAAGTATGGACAATAAACTGAGAAGAGGATGAATGAGCCAGGGTCTGTCAGGGCTTGGACAAGAGGCAGGTGGGCCCAGAGAAGCAGAAAGGAGCAGTGGGGCACTAATCATAGTCCTTGAATCCCTCAAGTGTCGTCTTAGTAAGACCCTGGCAGTGCCAACTTCTTTTTTTTCTTCATCCAGGCCCCACAAAGCCCTGCCAGAATGACTGCCCCTCTGCTACTCTATGCTGGCAGAGCTGGTCCGTCCCTCTATTTCACCCTTGACCTTTGCATTAGAGTTATCTGGCAACATATTCATCTTTCCTTTGCTACTGGGAAACTTTGAGGGCGGGGACTATGCCACTTCTCACCTTCTCCCCAGACTCCATTCTGGAGTTTGATACAGGAAAAGCCTCAATGGAGACTTGCTGCAATATACAGCACAGGGGGCTGGGGATGTGGCTCAAGTGGTAGCGCGCTCGCCTGGCATGCATGTGGCCCGGGTTCGATCCTCAGCACCACATACAAACAAAGATGTTGTGTCYGCCGAAAACTAAAAAATAAATATTAAAATTCTCTCTCTCGGGCTGGGGATGTGGCTCAAGCGGTAGCGTGCTCGCCTGGCATGCGTGTGGCCCGGGTTCGATCCTCAGCACCATATACCAACAAAGATGTTGTGTCCGCCGATAACTAAGGAATAAATATTAAAATTCTCTCTCTCCCTCTCTCTCTCTCACTCTCTCTTTAAAAAAAAAATGTGTTTAAAAAAAAATAAATAAATAAAAATAAATAAATAAATAAAATTCTCTCTCTCTCTCTCTCTCTCTCTCTCTCTTTAAAAAAATACAGCACAGGGAGGGGGTATGCAGGAACCCACTTCATTTCAAAGGAAGAGAAAATTACAGCATGAGGGATTTAGGCTGAGTACAAGAAAGAACTTCTTAAGGCTGGGGGCTGAGATACTATGAAGGATTAATCCAGACCCACAAATTCTGAAGAGCTAAGTTCCCCCAAGATTGACTGCATTATAGAGGTCTTTAAAAGTTGAAAGAAGCTGGGCATCCTGGCACATGCCTATAATCTCACCAACTTGGGAGTTTGAGGCAAGAGGATCACAGCCTAAGCAATTTAGTAAGAACCTGTCTCAAAGAAATGAGAAAAGGTGGAGAGTATTTGGGATATAGCTCAGTAGGAAAGCACCCCTGGGTGAAAATAAAGTTGGGAGTTCTGGACCCCACCACTAGAGATTTGATTTAAGATGGGCCCATTGTATCAGCATTTTGAAAAGCTTCCCTGCGTAATTTGAATGTGTTGAGAAACACTGACTTAGACTCTGTCCTGATGTGGCTGCCTTGGCAGTTTTACCACCAGATCTAAATACTAGTGCTTATAATAATTGTTATTTACTCATTGAGGATTTACTAAGTATAAGCCAATGTTCTAAACATTTTCCATGCATTATCTCGTGTAATTCTCAAAAAACCCTGTGAAATCAACATTCTCTTCATCTTATAGATGAGGAAACAGGCTCAAAGAGGTCAAGGGACCTGCCCATGCTAATGAATGGCAGGACCATGTCTAGGAGCTGAGATCCCTTGATTCATACCTTTGATCTTCCTCCAAACTCCTCCTGAAGCTACTGTTGGCCTCAATCAGTCTTTGCCTGCCTCCACCTCACCTCATCACCTTCCCTCCACCCCCGCTGCTCCCTCAGTAACATCCCAAGTGATTGAAGCAATTTGCAGCCATTAGAAGAAGCTCCAATGTGTCACTCACCCTGTGAGGGTGGAAATGTGAAAGAATTACAGATGCTCTAAGATGATCCTCCCCTCCTCCTGAAGACATTTTGGGATTCAGGAATCAATTAGGTCCACTGCTTCCTCAGGTCCCTATATGGGACCCTCCCATAAGAATTCCCACTCCCAAATACCCTCAAATGGAGTCTAAGTATCTGGGGGCGTACTGCCACCCAGTGGCTGCCCAAGGACACGACAGCCCTCCTGCACCTCCTGGTGCTGCTGGACAGCTCCTCAACCTCAAGACCTTAATAGGAAATCCTTCCTCCCTTTCTTACAGCACCTCTGTGCCCAGGACCCTAGTAAGTGGATCCCCAACCTCCATAGTCTTAAATCCACACCCCATCTAGAGAGCTCCGACTTATTTACTGATTCCTCATGTGTTCCCTTCTCCCAACGACTCACAACTTCTCATCCAACTTTTCCACTGTGTCATCCCCTCCTCATTTCAGGTTCCTTCTTCCTAAAACCCAGCATCACGTCCTGGGGACCCGCCTCTCATCTTCCTTCTCCCAGAGCTGCACCAGCCTGTAAGAGTAGCAAAGGAGCCATTGAAGATACTATTCTGGTTCCCTGCACCCCCTCATCATCTGACACCATCAGACCTCAACAGCCTCAGTGCTAAGAGCCCCTAATGAGCATCAGCAAATTAACAACTTCCCCTTGATTGCTCCTTCTTTGTTAATTGGATACAGAGGCCCCTCCCCCAAAGGCCTCTCAGAAAGGAGGAGGGAGGGAGGGAAAGAGAGCGGTAAGAGCTTCAGGAACAGACCCCAGGCCTGGGTTCAATACCCAGACTTCGGCTCCACTCCTAAGCCTAGATCCCCTTTTCAACCCTGTACCCCTCTCATTCCCTTTCCCCCTTTCCTTACTTCTGTTCCAATTCCCTTGAGCTCTGGCTATTTCTTCTTCCTTCCATCTGCTCCTCCTTTAGAGATTTGGTAGTGAGGAGCTGCAAACATACCCCCTGCCCCCAGGCAAGCCAGCTCTATAAGGATGGATTCTGGGTGGCCAAGGCTGTGTGTCTGTTCACATATGTGCATGTATGTATCTATGTGTTACATGGAGGTAGGGAGCCGGGATAAGAAGAGGTGAGTGGATACGTGTAAGCCGCTGAGTGCTTGTCCTGTGGTCAGGCTTCTGGGTTGTGTGGACGTCTGTGATGTGTATCTGTGTAGCTGTAAGTGGCATGGTGTGACTCTGGTCTGAATGTGTCTATGTCTCCACACGGGCAAGTGCTTGAATCAGTCAAGTGTGACTCGGAGCTTGTGTGTGTGTACACGTGTGCGTGTGCCACCAGAGGAAGCAGCAGCAAGAGGCAGAAGCATCGATCCGAAGGAGACAACGCGGGGAGGGGGACGCTGGGGGCAGATACCCTCCTTCCTGCGCGCACACGCGCGCGCGCACACACACACACACACACACACACACACATACACACACACATCACATAGTCACATAACAGGCCATAGGACCTCACAGGCAAGGAGACGGCTCCGGGACCAGAGGGAGGCAGCGTTGCCGAGAGCGGCGGGGAGGAGGGGACAAGCCAGCGCCTGGAGCTCTCCGTTCCGCTCCGCGGGCCAGGGGCCCGCGCGCACACCGGCCCAGAGACACCCTCGCAGACACTCGTAGGCGCGCACGCGCACCCTCACCCCTCCTCCACCCCTCCCGCCGCCTCCGGGCCGGACGATGGATCCCTGCAGATCCCGGGGCTGAGAGCACCCGGCACCACGCACCGCGCCGAGCCCGTGCGGACCGAGCCGAGGCGAGCTAGCCAGCGAGCGCGCGCAGGCGGGCGGGCGGGCGGACAGATCAGAGCCGAGCCGGGTCGGGCGGGCCGCTCCCTGCAGGGTTCTGCGCGGCGTGCCGCGGCGGCCGCCCGCTCCGGCTCCGGGCCATGAGCCCCTCCGCGACTCGGCGCTGAGCCCACATACGGCCCCGCGCCCCAGGACTGCCGCCGGCTCCTGGCTTCCAGAATCCCCCTCAGGTGGGTTTCCTATTCCCCCGCCGTTGGCCGCGGGGCTCCCCAGCGCCCAGAAGCGGGGACTCTCCTCTCCTCTACCTTTCCCCAGCGGCTGGGGAGGGTCGAAGGGTAGGGAGGGGGCGGGGGCCGAGCAGGGGATCTGACTGCGATGGGAAGCCCGACTGAAGGGGGGTGCGTTCGGGGCGGGGACAACTGACTGTCATAGGGAACCGCGCCCCCCCTCCATACATCCACCTCGGGCAACCCGCCACCCCCACCCCTCACCCCAAAGACAGACTGACAGACAGACAGACACACACACACACACACACACACACACATGCGCGCCTGTGCCTACATAAGAACTGGAGACACCCCAGGTGAGTACTCAGGCTGGGCCCCTCCCCTTGTATACCCACCACCCTGGAGATTTTCTGGCCCAGGTTTAGCTCCTGGGAGGGAGAGCCCAGGATACCCTTGATCAGGAGAGGAGCTCCTGACCCTAGGTTTAGCCTATGGGGGAGAGTTTTATCTCCAGGATAGGGTAGACATTACTGTCCCAGAGTGACCCCACATCTGGAGGGAACTCCTGTGCCTGCCTTGGGAGCATCAAGACTTCCCTCTCACCCTTCAGTGACTATCTGGGGTCTCCTCTAGCCTATTCCCTGGGAGAGCATTCTCTTGGCCTCAGCTGACCCCCCAAGCCTCTATTTGGAGGAGCCTTGTCCTGGGACAGGTCCCTTAGCCAGACACTTCTCGTCTTGAACACTAGGGAAGTCTTCTGCCCCAGGAGCACTGACCTCTGGAGATGGGGATTCTGGATAGACACAGTTGGAGGGGCACCATGTGCACTCTTCTCTCAGGACAATAACAGACTCTGTCTTTTCCCTGTCCTCCCCCCCCAGGATCCCCTAGACAAGGATGGAACTGAAAGCCGAGGAGGAGGAGGTGGGTGGCGTCCAGCCGGTGAGCATCCAGGCCTTCGCCAGCAGCTCGACGCTGCACGGTCTGGCCCACATCTTCTCCTACGAGCGGCTGTCCCTGAAGCGGGCACTGTGGGCCCTGTGCTTCCTGGGCTCACTGGCTGTGCTGCTGTGTGTGTGCACCGAGCGTGTGCAGTACTACTTCCACTACCACCACGTCACCAAGCTCGACGAGGTGGCTGCCTCCCAGCTCACCTTCCCTGCCGTCACGCTGTGCAACCTCAATGAGTTCCGCTTTAGCCAAGTCTCCAAAAATGACCTGTACCATGCTGGGGAGCTGCTGGCCCTGCTCAACAACAGGTGGGTGGCTCCCACCCACCCTTGTGCCCTGCTTATGAACATGGGGTTTCTGAATGGACAGCTGGAAGGGCCCCATATGTACTCTTTTTTTATATATATATTGGGGATTGGACCGAAGGATGCTTTACCACTGAGCTATATTCCCAATCCTTTTTATTTTTTATTTGAGACAGGGTCTTGCTAAATTGCTAAGGCTGGCCTCAAACTTGAGATTCTTCTGTTTTAGCCTCCTGAGTCTCTTGGATTGCAGATGTGTGCCACCATACCCAGCCCCATATGTATTCTTATCTCGGGACAGCGGCAGGTTCATCTCTTAGTCAGGGTGCTTGCCTCTCTACCCTACCACAGAACCAGCCAACCCAGCCCTCTAGACATCCCTCAAACCTGCCACTCATAGAAGAGAAGTTGGGGCACTGCTGAGCACCTAATTAAGGCACCTAATCTCTGATTCCAGCATAGTCCAAAACAGTGCTACCATTACCCAGCCTGAGTTAACACTGGTACTCTCTGGAGTGAACTTTGCCCTCCCTCCTGCCACTATGTTCTGATCTCCTCATTTAGGGCAGACCACCTTTAAAGGGTAGAGACTATATTATAAAAGCCATGGCTGCCACTTTATCCATGCTTCCTCTCACCCATGTACTGAGATGCCCAGATACTTCTGTCTTCTCAAACTACATGTGGCAGGCCCTCTAGACATGACCAGCTCTCCTTCTTTGCCTATCTATGCCCAGGGCTGATCCCTGGGGCTGGATGCTATCCCCCACAAGTAAGGGATGGGCACTGGTGGTTGTTCTGATCCATGTGCCACTCACCCCCGGGCTCCAGGTATGAGATACCAGACACACAGATGGCCGATGAAAAGCAGCTGGAGATATTGCAGGACAAGGCCAACTTCCGCAGCTTCAAGCCCAAGCCCTTCAACATGCGTGAGTTCTATGACCGAGCAGGACACGACATTAGAGACATGCTGCTCTCCTGCCACTTCCGGGGGGAGGTCTGCAGCGCTGAAGACTTCAAGGTGGTGAGTCCTCTGCTGTGGGGTGTGTGTCAGCCTGGCCTTCAGTGGAGGAGGAGACAGGGAGCAGGCCAGGGCTCTCAATGCTTGCTGCTCTGGGAAAGAAAGTGTGTGTTTTGGGATTTGCTTCTGGAGTACATTTATACCGTGTGAGGGCCTGAGCCACAACCTTGCACCCATTTAGGCAGGAAAGAGAACCTACAGTGAATATCATATACTCACACACACCATGCATGCATACATGGCCAGGCATGGCCCTGAACCCACTATTTACCTTCTGGACCACGGGTGTCAAAGTTAGGAGTAGTGATGGGTAAGTTACAACCTTGTTACTCAAAGTGAGGTCTGATGAGACTGTCACCTGAGAGCTTGAAAGAAATATAGTACCTTGCCACCCAACTTCCCAGACCTACTGAATCAAAATCTGCATTCTAAAAAGGTCCCAAAGTGATGTGAGTATACAGTAAGTTTGAGCATTGTGAAGTATGGGGATTAAGGGAAGCTTCCCTTTAAATAGCCAGACAGGGCCAGGTGAGGTGGCACATGCCTGTATCCCAATGACTAGGGAGGCTGAGGCAGGAGGATTGCAAGTTTAAGGGCAGCCTCAGAAACTTAGTGAGGCAGGCCTTCAGCAACTTAGCAAGGGATTGGGGAGGTAGCTTAGTGATAAAGTACCACTGAGTTCAATTCCTAGTACCAAAAAAGGAAGAAAAGAAATAAGTAATTTTCTCTGTGTCATTCTCACCCTCACCCCAACCCCATATACACATGTGCACACCCACATGCATACACACACACACACACACACACACACACACACACACACATGCTGTCCAGTTAGGTGTCCCCTTGCCAGCAAGAGCCACAGAGCCAGAGTCAGAGGTGATCAGGATGCATAGTCATAAACTGGAGGTTCTCTTTGCTTCTGAAAATGGAAATGCCCCACAAATGCTTGCACAGATGTGATGGCCTCAGGTCAGCACCTCAGGTGCTAGAAAACTGACTTTGGCATCTGATGTGCTAGGTTATCCTAGGCAAGTCACATATATTCTTTAGGGTAAAGACCCTCACAGAGAAGCCAGATGTGGGGGTTGCATTTTTGAAATCCCAGCTACTTGAGCAGCTAAAGCAAAAGGATTGCTTGAGCCTAGGAGTTGGAGGCCATCCTGAGAAGTATAATGAAACTCCCAGATCAAAACCAAACAGCTAGCTGGGCACAGTGGTACTCATCTGTAGTCCTAGAAGGAGCTTGAGGAGCTTGAGGAAGGAAGATCGCAGGTTTAAGGCTAGCCTGGGCAATTTAGTGAGACCCTATCTCAGAATAAAAAATAAAAAGGACTGAGGATGTAGTTCAAGAGTAAAGCACCCATGGGTTCAATCCTAAGTACCAAAACATACAAACAAACAAATGGACAAAAAGATACACACGGAAGCTGGAAAGAGGCCAAAGGACCCGGAGGCATCTATGAATAACCATAATCCCAAATGGAAGGACAATGCTTGTAACTCTTCAGAATGCTTTCTAGGCTCTCCCAATCCCTTTGATAAATAACCATATTATCTGTGTTTTACAAATTCACAATCTGAGATACAAAGAGGTAGGATAATTTGCCCAAYCTCACTAGCTGATTAATGACAGATTCAGGATTGGAACTCATATCTCATTAAGTACTAGTGCAGTGTGCTTTTCTCATTAGTGTTGCTGAACCTGGAGTTCTCCTGTCCACCTCCAATTCTGGCATTGTTCTTTCAAAACCCAGGGTTGGGGCTGAGGTTGTGGCTCAGTGGTAGAGCACTTGCCTTGCACATGTGAAGCACTGGGTTCGATCCTTAGCACCACATAAAATAAATAAATAACTAAAACAAAGGTACTGTGTCCATGTTCAACTAAAAAAAAAATTAAAAAAAAAAAAACAGTCTCCCCAGGATCCCCTGCTCTCATGCCTCCTCCTAATTCTCCATTCTCAGATCTTCCCCTTTCTCCCAACCCATTTCCTCCCCCACTTCCTTGCTTCCTTCTAGCATTAAGGAAACATAGGATGCATATGTTTATGTAAAAAGGTTAGAGCCATGGTCATGTGTAGTGTTTCCTGGTGAGGTTACACAGGCTTCCCACTCTCTTTTTTTGTTTGTTTGGTACTAGGATTTTAACCCAGGGGCACTCAACCACTGAGCCACATCCCCAGCCTTTTTTATTTTTTCTTTTGAGACAGTGTCTCTCTAAATTGCTCAAGGCCAGGTTAAATTGCTGAGGCTGGCTTTGAACTTGCAATCCTCCTGCTTCAGCCCCAGAGTGGCTGGGATTATGTGTGTGCACTGCACCTGGCACTTCCCAATCTCTTTAAGTCCTGTTCTGCAGACCAATTTCATGGGCCTTTGTCAGTCCTGTTGGACAAGGGCTATATGACCACACTCCTTGTTAAGCCAAGCTGAAAGGGAACTTAGCCCAGGTACAAGAGCACTTCCTTCTCTCTTTTCCTTCTTCATAACAGGAGAGTCCTAGATTTCCCAGAGCTTCAGACCAGAGGGTTTCTAAGCTCACAAACTTTGTTACAAGAACCCTAGAACTGGACTGGGGTTATGGCTCAGCAGTAGAGCACTCGCCTCGCACGTGCAAGGCCCTGGGTTTGACCCTCAGCACCAATGAAATAAACAAATAAAATAAAAAGTTGAAAGAAAGAAAGAAAGAAAGAAAGAAAGAAACCTAGAACTATAGGTGAAGGTGGAAGCAAAATCCAGAATCCTACCCTTCTCCATCCAACACACCCAACATACAACAGAAGGGACTACCAGGAAAGAAAAAACCTATCAGCAGGATGGTTTATAATGTTGGATATAGGAGGGAAGTGCTTGACTAGACTTGGGAAGGTGTTAAGGTATAAAGTTGGAATACTGTTAATCCAGAGAAAGTATTCAGTTGAATATCCATTTGTCTGTCTTGTCCAGAAAAATTCCAAGTGGCAATGCTAAGATGTTTGGTTCATAGTAATGGAGATACTAAACTGTAATTGGTCCATGTTGTCTGAGGGGGAAAATTCCAAGCAGTCAGATGGAGATATGATTGGTTCACAGAGTCCTGTAGCAATCTGAGTTCTTCCTTCTCCTGAGGAAAAACCCCTACAGGGTAGCGCTCTGCAGGTCCAACTGTGGCACTTGTTGATTCTGGGTTGTGAGGGAAGATCACGTTTTTTGTTTCTCAGTCCATGTATCAAAGACCTAACCCTGGTCTGGCTGGACCCCAAATCCTCAGCCTATCCTTCTACCCTTTCTGGTTGCTCTCAATGCCAGCCCTTTTCTATGTCAAGAGTTCTACCACTTCTGCTTGAATGGATATTTCTACACAAACAGGAGTCTGGTTTTGAGTACCTGTCTAACATCCCTGAGGTGAGAAGGGACTGACAAGCCTTCTTCTCTGGATCCCCAATCCTAAGGGATTCACATATTCTTTGCTTTGTGTTCCACCCTCTCTCCTCTCCTTGGTCTCATAATTAGCATGTTTCCTCATTCATGCCATTCTCTGCCAGGCCCAGATATCGGGATGTGAATCTAGCCTCTGGATAAATGTGGCACTGGCAGAAATCATCTGATTATAGGGTCAGAGTTTAGAGGAGACTGTCTTGGCATCTTCTGCAGCCTTAATAGCAGAGGGCCTTAACTGGGGGTCCCTTGTTCAAAATGTTTTCAAAATACAGTATGCATGGGCACATGCAGACTCTTCTGTGATGTTTCCAAGGGCAACACTCACCCAAACAGTAAGAACTTGCTCCAGGAGAATGTTTTGAGAGATAATAGAGGATATCTTCTCTGGTCCCCAAAGACCCCAGCTTCCTTGATGAGAATCTGTAGTAACATTTTCCCAGATTTGCTTTGAAATCCAGCTCAATCTCAGGGAATAGGGGTCACAGACTGTTGGACCAGTGTCCATCCCCCAGGTGTGGTTAATTGTGGGGAACCTGAGCTAAATCTGGGAGAAATGAGTTGGAAATCCTTTGTGAATGAGGGGATAGAGGGAAGTAGGGGAAGTATCCCCAAGAAATCCCTTTGGGTGGGCCTCAGTAGCTCCCTCCTGAGCTACCAAAAGAGCCAGAAAGCCCAACCACAAGGACCCCTCTTTCTGGGCCACCTCCTTTTCTTCCCAGTGGGGTGTCTGGTTGCCAGGGCAACAGGGTCTGAGGCTCCTTTCCCACCTTGAGGCTAGCCAGGCCAATGCAAGGCAGGGGTCCTATGGAGGGGGGCCAGGGGCGCAGATGTCTGCTGGTGTATGGGCGGGGGCTGGGGAGTGAGCACAGTCGCAGCTGGTGCCAGCCTCCAGCTGCACCTTATCTGTCCCTGGCAGTGGGAGCAGTGATGTGGCTGGAATGCTGAGCAGCATGGAGGGGAGGGGGCTGGCAGATGGTTGCCCAGTCTGCCCTATGCCACCCCCCTCCTTCCAGCTGAGACCCAGAGATTTTGCCTGGGTTGCAGAGATGATGAGAGAAGCAGGACTGCATGTCTGGACCTTGAAAGAGGACTAGGAGGGTAATCAGTGCAAATTGTCAGGACCGGGGGTATTGTAAGAACTGCAATCTTTTTAAAAGGGCATGGAACTGGGGGACAAGAATCCAGAGGGGACAGAGGAGTACCCCAGGACCCTGGAGTGAGGGGCATAATCTTCCAGAGAAAATGTGGAATAAAGGGGGTGGATGCAGGGGGCGGGGGCAGGAATCTCCTGGAGCACCTAAAGAGGGAAGATACTGACACAAGAGGCTATGTGGTTGGGTGATCTTAGGGTCCTGTAGGGAAAGAGAAAGGTCATCAATAAGGTAATCAGAGCCAGGGATGTCAGGGCCCAGGGCTGTGCCCTTCATTGACACTCCTCACCCCCATTCCTACCCCCATATTAGCTCAGACCAAGATTCAAGAAGGCCCAACCTTATTACCCGGTCCTGTTCTCTCTTGCTAAGCAGAGGGTGTAGGAGCTGTGGAGGGGAAAGGCTACTGTTGGACTGCAGTGCAGAGAGGAGGAC